TTAGCAGATATCCCCAGACAACCTTCTCCCTGCGTAGCTCCTAGAGCTCATCTGATAACTGATATAATCTCTCAGTGAGACAGAGGGAGATGTGTCACATCACAGTAGGACATGACATAAACACCTCTACTGAAGATTTCATCGAGCTGGCTCCTTTTGGACAGAGAAGTTTCTCCCAAACAGTCAACCAGCTCACTACGTCTCTAAGAGGAAACTCATTTCAGCTGCTTGTGTTGTGTTTCATTTAGTGGCAGAACTAAACCTTTATGCACTTTGAGTGGCCAGAGAGTGGGTAAAGCTTTATCTGGAGATTCCTACACTAATAAAGAAAATACACAGTTTTTCTGATCTTGTATGTAAACAACACGCCTTCTTCTGATTAATATGTCATTGTGCAGAAGAGATTAGGCAACCTGGCGACATGTCGATGATGTCAAAGGCAGAACATCAAACTGTAGGACATCATTCTTGTCATGATGTGTGGTTGGGGATGCGGTGAGGATGTATGCCTAGGACCCAGGTTGTAGAAGAAAATGATTAATTTAATAAATAAGTCTCAAACAGTCCAATACAGGCGGCACGGCAGAGAGTTTAGCACACAGCTAATTACCGGTAGCAACTGAAATACTGAGGACTGAAAAACGAGAGCTAACGCTAACCTGGACTTCGCAGTTCTACTGGAGAGCATAGACGTTAGACAACAACTGACAGTAGACGAGGACCCGACAAGAGACAAAGACAACAGGTGGGTTTAAATACACAGGGAGGGTAATCAGGTAACTAGACACACCTGGGAATCAATCAACAGGGAAGACAGGACAGGAAAAGGACTAAACACAGAAAACCTCAAAAATAACTACACAGAAAACACAGAACACAACAATTCTTGAGCTTTTGGGTGTATTCACACCAGTTCTAGTTTGTTTGCTTAGAAAGTCCAGTTTGTTTGGGGAAGTGTGAATGGGTAATTCAACTCTGATCCAGATCAAAAATGTGAATCCTATTCCGCCTACAAACCTGAGTCTGTGTTTGGTTGATGATTCAAATTCAAAAGTACTTCTTTGATCCCAAAGCAGGCAGGAAGGATCTCTGGTAGCGGTCTGTATTACAGTGAATTTGAAGAAGCCTCTGACTGAAGACACTAATTTAAATTTTACAAACAGCACCCCATGTTAAACAGGACATACCTCTTACAAAATAGAATGGGTCATTTATTCCTCACCAGAAATGTCTTCATTTATAACAGATGTAATAGGATTTCTGCAGTTTTTTGGGATTTATTCATACTTTCCCAGGCGAGCCTGCAGTCATATCCAAGTGATGTTTAGATGTTTAGAAAGCTAAACATTTGAAGGAGTCAGTCGGGGGACATTTGAGGGAATCTTGTTGCCATGGTTTGGGTCCAGTAGTCACTGGACAGGAAGGAGTCACTGCAACCAGTACAAAGCTGTTCTGTTTGTCCCCACATACATTGTGTAGTGAAACAGTTTGACCTCTGACCTGGTGTTCTCTTCTAGTATCATATTTCATTGCCAGTGAATCTGAGGTTTAATTTAGGAAAATACAACCCCGAAAAAATAAAAAATAAGATTTTAAGCTTCTTTTGCAGTTGTTGCAAAAGCAAGTTCATGATATCAGCTGTTCTTTAAATAGAAATGTGGGACATATTGCTTTATGAAGTATGAACCAAACAGATGTCAGGGTGAGAAGAAGGTGAAATAGGTGAGATTGCCAGGCCTGGGTCACAGCTGCTGTATGATTGTCATATTTCCAATAACTCCAGAGTACCTGAGACCCGCAACATCTGCTGTGGGATCTCTGAGAGGAGACTAGATCAAATGTGGGATATTAGAAACTGAAAAACTTAAATTAGAATGTGGAAGAGAGGAAGAAATAGAGAAATTTAAGACCAGGAAGGTGTGTCAGCGGGAGGATAACAGAAAGGCAGGGAGAAAAGAAAATAAAGTTTGTGGATATTGAGGAAAAAGAGCAACATGAGGTGAGACGAAGAAAGATGGAAAATGTTTTTGTGGGGTAAGAAGACAAAAACAGATGACAATATACGATAGGGAGCAAAATGGGAGTGAAGATAAAAGGTATAAAAAAAACTAAACAAAACAAAAAAACATAGTGCCAGAGAGGAGAAGTGAGGTGGTACGAAATAACACAAAGAGATAAGAATTAATAAAAAGATAAAAGTGCTGCAGGATAGTTTTCTGCTTCACGGGCTTCCTGATACGACCCCACCCCCCAACACACACAAACAGATCACAAGTCACGACTGAAGGGAGAACATGTAGATAATCAATGCACTGGGATTAATAATGAGATTTCAGGAGCAAGACAGTTAAAGGGGGAGGGCTGGGATTACGGCACCCTGGCCCAATTTCCAGCTGACAAGGAAAGTAGCAAAACAAAGCTGCCGTAAGAGGATTGGAAGGTTTGAACCAAAAACCGTCTCAGATTGTGCACAGAGAATTAGCGTGACATTACAAAAATGGAAATACAAGCATGTTGCTTTTTCCTTGGGTCTTGATTACACTTCACTGAAGATATTTCTGTTCAAACAACGGACATCCATGGATGTCATTAGCCAGTTTTTGTCCCTACATAGTCTGAAAAACATGTTAGATATCAGGGATTTTTATCATTCATCATATCACATATGTCACAATGTACACAGAAAGGCCAAAACTGAGACTCCGGCTGTGGTGGTGTTACTGCTAATCATTACTTCTGTTTTAGGGTGGGATCATTATCCTGCTGCATGACACAACGGCTTACTAAAGATCAAAACAAAGAGGTTAAAATTTGTTAACTGACAATGACAATACCCACATAAACACATGCCATGAATCACTGAACTAGGGTATATTTTATCATGTCGAATAGTCATGTTAGTGAAAGTCTGTGTAATATGCCCCTAAAATCATGGACAGTGTTTTGTTTGTGCTCTGGATTTCTCCTCATTCATGTCTGAAGAAACCAGACAGAAAACTGAGAATAGGAATAAAAGAGGATCTGGATGAGAAATGAGCTGTCTAGAAAACACCAGTGAGACCAAGTGTGTGTGCACGTGTGTTTGTGAGTGCAATAGCATACTGACGAACTGGAGAAGAAGTTTCAGTCTGAAAAATCTATTTATTCAGAGCGGAATAGTCCATTTGAAGAAGTACTTTTGATCTCTGAACAGTGTGTGAAGGAGGCAGTGCCGCCACTCGTAACTTATTACACACAGAGTACTAAGTGGTACCCAGGCCACTTAGTGCCCCCAGAGGCACCAAAAAATCAGGTTTTTAACATAAAAACTACATGTGGCTGACACTGCATTCAGAGCAGCAGTGTGCGCTGCTCTGTAGCGGCTGGAAGTGATAGAAACGGGATGAAATTATTTTACTGTTGTAGACAAAAAAACATGTAGCTATTTATCATTTTACATGCGGTTATCCACCACTGAAGCAACAACATACTGCTCTGTACAAATGAAGAACATGAAGGAGGCAGACCCTGGACAGGTTGCCAGTCCATCGCATGGCTCTGATCTCTTTCCTTCACAGGATTTTGTTTCTATACACCTGTATGCTCCAGACCAGCAAACCTCTCAAACTCATCATATCATAGATTTGGTCAGCCTAAGTCTTACCAAATCATAATAACCATATTTATGATTAGAATATTACATCAGACTTATAAATAAAACGGTTTCAATACATAAATGTAGGTGTAATGACAAATATATTTAATATCTGCTTATTCCATACGAACCGCATCAGAATGCATATTCTGATTTATTGAATATGATTGAAAAATATGGGGAGACGGTTACAGAAACCTGTGATAAATACATGTAAACAGTTGGTGTTAAAGAATAGGCTGCAAAACCAATAAGCATGGCTAACAGAAGTTTTATTTTGGACCCATTAGTCCATGGAGACCAACACAAGCACATCATACTTTGTAATATAATATGTCATGTCTTCATTCTAGCCCTGCTGCACTTTTTGAAACAACTTTACATCTGAACAACAGCATCTGACACCATAACTAATTACCGCTCACCTCTTTTATAACTGATTCCTTTTTCAGCTTCAGTCATACTTATATCTACTCATTAGCTTCGCTCAGCGCCCACCGGTGCAGCAGCTAATTATTCCCCTACACCAGCTCGCCGTTCCAGGAGTTCAGCTGTTAGCGAACAGGGTTCAGGATGTGGGGTCGGCGGTGATTTTGAGCGCGCAGCGGCACGTCCTGTCATCGGTGTCACGCTCTTCTCTCGGTGCTGGTAGAGAGTGCTCTGTTGGCGCTGCAGTTAATAACGCTTTAGGGTCCGGGTTACACAGCATTCCGGCATGGGGTCGTGTGGTGTTTACAAGTAACAGGATTTCTATGATTGGACATGGCTGTTTGATGATCACTGGCTTAAAACTGTTTGAAAATGTTAACACAAGCAACGTATTTTACACTGTCAGGTTATTTTTGCTTTTTTCCAATCACAAAACCCAACCGAGTCAGAAAGGGTTACGAAGCAGATTGAAACCCAGAGAGCAGAGACTGAAACAAGCACGCAGTGCTTCCACAGAGAAAAGGTAAGAGGTGCATTTTGACAGGAAAACGGTGTAAATGAGACCTTGAACGTCTGAAAATAGTGCAAGAAGAGTTTCCTGGTGATCCAGTGATTTCCCTCCCTGCGGCTTTGCCACTAATGAGAACATCTGCATCTGTGGAACATACGGAGTGTGAGTGATCGTCGGAAGGGGAGCGTCGCCTGAGAGGCGGATGCAACTGTGAACTTACAGAGAGTCGGGGGTTCAACACGCTGCCAGAATCTTGTAAAAATATTCGACAGAAATGGGATCCAGAAACAGTGATTGGGAGGGAGATTGTGCTTTTTAAGTTACATAACCGACTTCTCTGGAAATGCCACTAAAAGCCAAATTACAGATTTATTGCATTTACTAATTCATATAATTTCTTCTTTTTGATTTTTCCTTCTTCCCAAGGTGCCAGTGCCCTGCTCAGTTCGAGGGACCTGAATGCCAGCAGAACAAGCACAGTTTCCATGGCAATGGCTATGCTTGGTTTCCTCCAATGATGCCTTGTTTTGAGAGCCATGTGTCGCTGGAGTTTATCACAGACGTGGCTGATGGACTGCTGCTGTACAGCGGCCCACTTGCACAGCTGCAAGCCTGGGACCACGAGGACTTCATGGCCATAGGTAGGATGCATAAACTTTGGCTCAATAAAGAGAGGAAATGCTTTCAACCTTTTTATTTATACAACATTGCAGTGGAAGGTAGCTGCACTCTGAATAAAATTAGACCAGAAAGTCTGCCAAATGTAAGGGAAAGGTGACATTTCTCACTTTAGAAGGAGCCAGAGACGGTTCTTAAATCACTACCTAATTTACTTCAGCCTCCCACTTTGCAAGACCTGACAATATGATGAGACTGTAGGCTTCCATCACATCAAAACTAGAGTTTATGGTAATGTAAGGGAATTGAATAACTAAGATGTTTGGTGAGGTAGAGTACTAAGGAAAAATGGATGGATTAGGCTGAGGTGTATTCCTTGTCCTGCACATTTGGTAAAACTATTTTTCTCCAGCTCAATTCTTTATCTTTAGGGAGTTAAGTTTAACACAGAGTTGTTCGGTGAATGCAATGAAAGTCTGACTGAGTTGCAGGGAAATGACTGTACCATCCAGTTCACTGAAACGGTTGAACGTCTGTCGGTCTGCTAGACCACGATCCTGTATTGGTGTGTTTTTATATCGCTGCTGAAATACGAACACATGGTTCCTTCCTGAACTAAAGGGCGTGGTAATTTTATCAGAAAAAACTGCAGGCATCCGGTTAAAGATGAGCTCAACTTACAGTTCTTGATGCAAGGAAACTAGATGGTCAGCAAACATCACACTTATAACTCATCTTAATAATGCAGTTGCTATGCTGTCGAACTAGTGCAAGCTACTACAAAAAAAACGTTCTGCCTCACACTAGACCTCACACTGGACTGTGATTGGCTGGTCAGCCAATCACAGTCCAGACAAGCCTACATGGCACAGTCCAGTGAACTTGGGGTGTTTTCCACACTTCCTTTATTCTCTCCTTCCTTCTTTCCAGCTGTACATACATGCAGTAATGATGTTGTATTTTTTTTTAATATATTTTAAAATTAACATACACAACTAAATATCTTAAAAGTTGAGTTTGGAAAAAAAAAAATTACATGAAAGCCCTGAAAGCATAACATCTCCCTAAAATGGGCCCAAACTCATGATTGAGTGCTATTACACAGCTGCATGATGGAAAACTTGCATGCCCATATTTTATCATACTTCCCCTCGCCTAGATAATGTGGTGAACCAGATATTTCACAAAGATTTATGGCGGATTGTCCGTACCATTGTCTGGAGTGACTGCACCCCGATGCAAGGCTGCAGAGAAAAGAACAAGTTGGCAGCTACAAAAGGACACCTCAACCTATATACTGTTACATATGTGGACTTCATGAGGGGAAGCAGAAAGTTTCGGCAGAAAAGAACTTCCTGTCACGTTGAACTCCAAGAGGTGAGCAGAGAAGACTTGGTGGGAGTTTCTCACCGACGTTATCACTGCTGTTCATTCTCCAAAGTGAGGCGTTACAGATGAGAAAAAGTTGCATAAATTTAATTTTGTGTCTGTGATGTTTGGAGTCAAAATGACTAGCCTCTCTTTTCTCACTGCAGCTGTGTTCACAATGTTTTAAGAGAACAAAGCCAGTTTAATAGAGAGCAGGATTTATAGACAGATAAAACGAGAGCAGGAAGTGTTGTAGATCTTGGTATATTTAGTGTTTTAATCTGATAGACTAACACCTCCTCATATCTCTTGCTATTCCGTTCCTTGCACCGGTCCGCTCTCCTGGGAGAGATGCTGTTGTTCTATCACTGCCAAAGTAATAAGTGTGGGAGGGGAGGTCCATAGGGAGAGTCGGGTATGTTGTGTGTGTGGTGCGTGTGCGTGTGTGTGTGTGTCTGGATGTTTGGGTGCATGTTACCGGCAGGTTTGCTGTGTAATTCCTGAATGATTTCATTTTGCTCTCGTTGTTTTGTTGCAGAGGGTGTTTTGGGGTTTATTGGGTCGTAAAGACTTAGGATTAGGTTAGTTGAGTCGTTAGTGGGATCCATGTGCAGTGTGTAATTAGTCAGGCTGTATATATTTAGAGCTCTAATTAACTTGTTTCAAGGTTGACCTGGTGCATGTAACAAACCCATCAGGGAGCCCAGCCTGTGTTAGAGGCTCATGCTACAGAATTATGGACGGCATAACTGTTTTAATCATCTTTGTGTGTTTGGAATGTACAGAAAGAATAACTGCTCTGAATAATCTCCTGTATCTTGTTCTTATTGAAAGTTGCAGCTAAAATTCGATGCCACTCTGTTTTTGTTTGCATTTTGTGAAGAAGGAAGTTGTGATCAGTGCCATTTGTGTCATTTCCTTCAGTGGCTCTTGGTGCAGCGCCCCCACAGGCAGGGTAATGAACAGGTTTTTCAATAGTTTGGATTGTTTGACAAGGTGCAGTGTGAAAGTGAACCATACCAACTGAAAATGGAACAAATGTTGCAATTTTGCTCCCTAATTGAAGCAAGTTTGCCTGACTATCAAGTGTGAAAACACCCTAACAGTCATGTTTTTGTCTTAATGGTGACTGTTGCTTTTTGAGGACATTCTGGGTCTTCCCTGGAATCCCATTTCAGTAGAATGTATCCAGTCATCTATGGATCCCAGACGACCTCAACTTACTCCTTTCTGCTTTTATCCAACCTTTCTGCTAAAATTACCAACAAACCTTTAATTTTCTTAAAATCTAAATGTTACCCGCTCTGGTGTAGGTGACAAGTTCAGTATATTACCATGAGAATCCTGCCTGGCTCAAATAAAGCCTCTTTGGAGTCTTAAAAACTCAACGTAGCTTGTATTCAACATAGTTGGGTAAACTGTTAAATATATTGTGAATGGAGTTCTAAATGTCTTACTCTCACTTTAATGTGATACAACTCCTGGCTAGAATATGATGGAATCATACCTCTTGGAGTAGGTTCAGTCAATTGTTTAACTTTGTGGAAGGAAATAAGTGCAGTTAAAACAGAACGCTTCCAGATCTGTTCACGCTGATGCACCTGCTAACAGGAAACAAAGGCAAAACAAGCGAGCTGGCAGCTGAAATATTGAAAGTGAATCAAAAAGTTGTTCAGGAAGAAAAATCAACTTGGAGTGTTACCAAAAGTATTGCTTTCTTTCAGCCAGCAGAGCTTAACATTCGAGGAAAGTTCAGATAAAATAGGAAGCCATAGTACAGAAAACGGCTTGGGAATAGAAAGAACGAACGAGGGGTCGTGCTTTATGTATTAAAGGGACAAGATTATTTAAAATCAACTTATTTGATCTTTACAACATGTTATAATGTTACTCCTTTATCATAAACATACCCGGAGTGTTCCCTTGATACTTTCATGCCTGTATATGAAATCTTTTAATCTCCATGGCAACCATTCAGCTGTACAAAACACCTGGTTGGACCCAGCAACTCCTTTGAGGCTGAGCTCCTCCTCAGAGATGCAGTTTCCAAGCTTCAACCTCACAGATCAGCCCTCCAACGTGACTGCCCCACTCAGCTCCTTCAGACTAACCAGCAGCAATTAGCAAACACCCAGTGGATTTGCACATTTCCTGAGCTCATTATTGGAGTTACTTCTCAGTGCAACACTGGTAAAAATGTTGTTAAAGGGTTAATAAAGGAGCCATGTTATGATGACTTCTTGAAAGCAGGGTTTCAGAAAGAGCAGGAGTTTTAAAGAGACAGAGGCCCAATTTCAAGGTGTTAAATTACAAAGTCAAATTTCTTCTAAATCATATTTGGACAACTGAAGGAAACGTAGTTACCTGATTGAGCTATGAAATGGCACTATGTGCCTGGAAAAAAACATAATACTGCTCCCCTTAAAACTGTCAGAAAATATAAGAAAAAATGACTGATCTTTATGTCTGTTGTTGAATATTACAAAAATTTACCTGCAGATTTTTTGGTTGTATTTTTATAGGTTGGAAGGGATCCGGTTTGTCCTGTTCACATTCCTCATTGGCTTTTTCTTCAGTACAATACTTACATGTACTATGCTGCAGAGCTGTAGCTCTTCCAAAGCCACCCACTCAACCAACCCTGTTTTCCTGCCGAAGGGCAGCTCGGCCTGCTGTGCATGCCAGAGAAGGTGGAAACCATTCGCATAGAAACACTGTCAACACAGCAGTGTGCTATTTCCAGTCTTTAGGCACTTGGAAAACAGGATATTACATGGATTGAACAGAGTGTAATGTGTGTGTATGTTGAGGCCAAAACGGTATGAAAAAAAAAAAAAATTCTCGGCTGACCTCTGGTAGATATTGAATTTAAAATCAGCATACTTTCAGTAAAACATAAGGCCTTAGATTAGCATAAATGTGTTTCAGATTTAAGGTGGTCAAAACAGTTTCCACATCCAGAGATCTAGATTTACCGCACTTCATGAAGGATTCATTTTTTTATTGACCAATGGTGAACACATATTTTATTCATGGGAGTAACAACACAGAAAAAGGAATCATAAAGTTGAACTCATGCCACTTGATCCAACAACATTCTAGCGTAGAATGGCTGCTTGGGTTTCAAAACATAACACTTTGCCTTTGGATAATACTGCACAAACTGTTTAGCTTATTTGTTAGTCAGTAATATAGTGCACATTGACAAAAGTATTATTGATTATTAAGGATTATGTAAAATCAACTTTTTTAAACTTTACATCATGCTATAACACAGGTGTCAAACTCCAGTCCTGGAGGGCCACTGCCCTGTAACTTTTAGATGTGCCTCTGCTGCACCACAGCTGAATAGAATAATTAGGTCACTAGCAAGGCTCTGGAGGACAGCGGCCCTTGAGGACTGGTGTTTCACACCCCTGTGCTATAATGTTATTCCTTCATCAAAAACATACCTGAAGTGACACTTTGATTCATTCTTGCATGTTTGAGAAATCCTTTAATCTCCATTGCAACCATTCAGGGATCCCTAAACACTTACTCACCCAATACGCCACCTATTTACCCAAAACTCCACCTTGGAGCTCCCACCTCCACAGAAGAGCCTCCCTCCCCCTCCTCACCTCACCTTCTCCTCAGTTCCTTCAGACTAGTGTCA